TTGACCCCAGCATGATCGACAAACAGAAGAGCAAGACATTTCAGAATTTAACACTGGTAGAAAAAAACGCACTTCACTTGCCCATGATTCCAGTTTTCTCCTATAGATAAAAACGATACTGAAGTCCCCTGAACTAGGTACTTCCTTGATACATATGCTGTGAGCCTATGGCCATCCTTTGGGCTTACAGAAAAATGCAAAAAACATTTCAAATTCAGCTTTCTCACTCCTTTAGCTTACCAGCCTACTTAGAACTACACCCCGAGTTGGGACTCCCCTGGCCTCCAGCACTCTGGACACTGGGGCCTAGAAAGCCCGCTCTCTCTACAGCAATGCCACAGCCAATCAGAATAGGTAGAACTGACCTCCAGCTCTTCACGATTTTCATAGCCTCTGTGTGGATGGGGAGGATCGCTTTAAACAGCCTTCGGTGGTCTTCCAACTCCCACTGTTCCCCTTCCGCATTCAGCCTCCTCCCCAAGGGGGCCTCGGACCACTTCCCCACACACTACGTCCCGCCTGTGGGCTAAAGTCCAAACTGCTGACCTGACCAACAGGGCCTTCCACAATCAATCTCCAGCCTGGCCACGCCCTCCCAGCCCCCAAGAGCTGCTTTCCATTGCCACTGCTCTGGACCTTCACACACGCCGCCTGCAGCACCCTGCCCTCCATGCTACATGCCCCGGTCAACTGCTCTTCCCACACCGAGCGCCACCTCCCCTTCAAGTTCCTCTTGCATGCCTTGCTCCCAGGAGAAACAGATCCTTCTCCCCTGTGGGTGCTGAACTACGTACACACCTGTCTCAGCAGCTATGACGAACAGCAGCCAACCTCTGTTCGTCTTTGCATCCCCCAGCTGAACAGCACCAGAAAGCAGGTGTCCCCTGTTGTGGACTGAACACCGAGGGACCCAGGTTACCCGGTCACTGATGTCCCACAGAGAAGCCTCCAAGAGGAGATCATACATCATTCATTCATTCATTCAAGAACAGCGGTGGGGCTCCTTTTCATACTACAGAGAGTGACTTTTAAATGGTACAAACTTGGTCCCTACTTTTAAGAAGACAAGCTACATTCATTATTTTATATAAGAATACCAGGTGGTATGACCAAGTGTCAAGGAAGTTTGGAAGGTAATATCTTCCTAAGACAGAGCACTCTGGCCAGGACTCAGTCACAGATCTGTCTTTTATTAGCAAGTTGATTACTTTCTGCCTCAGTTTCCCTATCTGTAAAATGATGATGAATTCTGACCTCTCGTTTTACCGCTTCCCCTTCTCCCTCTCTTTGCTCCGGCCGCTCTGACTTTCTGACAGTTCCTCAAACACTAAAGTCATTCCCTCTGTACTATTTCTTATCACAACACTCCAACACAAAACAGGTGGGGCTTTCTTCACATCAACAATTCTCCAACCTTCCAGGCAGTGACTGGCTACCCTATAACCCGATTCAGTTCCAGCACTACCTGGTGTTAGCAGACAGTGGGTGAGCCCACTGGGTGAGGGGCTCAGTCCCATAAGACCCCCCCCCTCCCGCCTTCTGACACCAGTCATCAAATCTGGGGCACCTAAGCTTCTGAATGACTGGCTATAAGGCCAGGGCCTGTCCACAACTTTACAGTGAATACTCTGCTAGAGTGGCAACAGAACTCAACAAAGCATCTTACATACTATTACCAAGGTGGTGTGGAATGGTGCGGTTTGGTTTTTGTAGTACCGGGGAATGAACACCCAGACCCTCTGCGATGAGTGACATCCTCAACATTCATTTATTCTTTTGTTTATTTGAGACAGGGCCTCACTAAGTCAACCCTCAATCGCCCGGGGTTTGGTTTGAACTTGTGATCTTCCTGCCTCAGCCCTCCAGAGTGCTAGGATTACAGGCAAGAGCCATCATGCTCAGCTAGCCAGTTAATTTTAAAGGACATAACTCAGAAACAACAAATGGAAGAGAGGCACAAGGCACGGGGCAGGGAGAGCTGTGCAGGGATCCCACAGCCTCTCCAGGCACAACAGCCACCCTGCCAGGGTGTCGCCGTGTTGATCACCTGGACGCTCTCCACACCTGCTGCTCAGGGGTTTTATGGAGGTTCCACTGTATGGGCATGAATGATTAAATCAGTGGCCACTAGTGATTAACTTGATCTCCTCCCCAGAGGTTGGAGGGTGGGGTGGAAAGTTCTAATTCTTTAATCACAGGGTGGTCCCTCCAGCAACTACCCCCCACCCTAAAGCTATCTAGGGATCCATCAAGGGTCACCTCACTACAGAAACTCAGGTGTGTTAAATGAAGCTTATTATGAACAACAAAATAATGCTCCATCACTCAGGAAATTCCAAGGCTTTTAGCTGTGTCAGAAACACAGGACAAAGATCAAATGTGTACTTTAGATTACCACACTTCTACCTTAGGACTCGAGACCCAGAAAACTTCCCTGGAAAGTGAATCAGTCAGGTCTTTACTCTAGTGCCACCTCGGCCAGCAGTACTCTCTGACCACACACTTAAAATAGAATCTTCCTTCCTACCCAGGCTTCTATGCTGCTTCTTTTCTTCACAGCACTTACCAGTACCTGAAATAACACTATTTATTTATTTACTCCTTTTTCCCCTGTATTTCCTACTAGGATATAAACTCCATGAGGGTAGAGTCATGGACTTAGCTGGATCCCCAGTACCTAGGATTCCTGTCATAGTACTCAAAAAAATACTTATTGAACCAATGGTGACACAGAATAATAATACCTACGTCGGGGCTGGGGGTGAAGCTCAGTAGTAGAATATGTGCTCAGTTAGTATTCCAGGTCCAGGGTTCAATCACCAGCACAAATAACCAACCAAACACCCCACATGAGCACAAGACCCCAGATTCAATGCCCAACAGTGCCAAAGGGGTTGGAGGTGGTGAGGACTGAAGCAAAGAGTGCCCAGAGGGATATAAAGTGCTTAACACAATGCCTAGCACATAGTAGGTTCTACAACAACAGCTATGGTTATTATCAAGGAATCCAGAAGAGGGTGAGGTAAACGTGGGCCAAGGCAGTTACAAGCTCCTGAGAGGTTCCAGGTCTTGAGCCTGATCTGGAAGGATAAGGATTTTCCTCTCCAGCTGGGCATTTATCAGGGCTAGAAGTATCCCCTCCTCTGCAACAGCCACTCCTCCCCATACCCCAGATCAAATGCCGCCTTTACATGGTTAAGAATCATCTACCCACCAGCCTCTCTGCCCGACCATTAATCCCTTTATCTGGCATTTCCACACCACCAGAAGCCAGACATAATTTCACTATTACTAAAAGGCACTTGATAATACTTGTATCACTGAATTAATTAATTTCAGAGATGTATGGAAAAGAGTTAACCACCTCTTCAGTCCAGTTATCCAGGCCTAAGTGTCCATCCTAAAGAAATCCTCCAGTGCTGGCATTAAAAATCAAGTGCAAATGTGGTCATGTCCCACTGGGCATGATGGTACAGGCTGTAATCCCAGCACTAGGAAGGCTGAGGCAGGAGGATCGCCTCCAGTTTGAGGCTAGCCTGAGTGAGTTCAAGGACTACATTGCAAGAAAAAAAAAGAAAGGAAAAAAAAAGATCATGTCCACTCCTGAGAGAGAAAGCAGCAGCACCAACCGGAATGTCCACAGTGCAGAAACAAATTCTGGTGCATCAACCCTAGGCAAAGATTAAAGTACATAAGGCAAATAGTGAAACAATCTCAAAAATATATTAACTGAAAAAATTAGAAAATACATAGCACATGATTTTAAGTAAAAAAAAAAAATGTAAAAAGACACACACACAAAACCTAAAGATTTCTGTGTGTGTACACATACTATGTTATGCACTTTATCGCTCAATACCGCGCCTAAACATAGGCTTTCAGTAAGTACTTGCGGAATGAAGACCTACATTAAGAAAGCGACTGCAAATACTGCTTTTCACGCTAAGTATTTCGTACTGTTCGCATTAAGTGACCACAAAAAATGTGTTACACACAATTAAAGTGCATTCAAGTTACTTTTAAAACTGCAGGAGTTGGATATGGACCATACATTAGTTCAGGCACCAGACTGTAACTTCTTCGGGGTATTAGCTTTGAACAATGAAGGCTGTTACCCAGGACTCCACGTTCACCTAGCCCTTTGACGGCGTAAAGATGAACAGCAAACTTCGGAGTCGCCAACAGTTCTCGGACACCTGCGCCTTTTCCGGAGAGCCTCGCCCCGACCACCACCCGCGCACGCGGTCCCCGCGCCTCGAGCCAGTCCGGCGGCAGGCAGGGAGGTCCGAGCGCCCTCCGCGCGGCAAGGAAACTCACTTTCCGACTGGCCTCTGCCCCGGCTGGACCATGCCGCCCCGGCTCCGGCATCGTCCCCTGAAGACACCAGTTTGTTGTCGCTGCTGTTTTTCTCTCCGATCGGCCCAGAGCCCAAAGGTCACCCGGTGCGAGGCGCGGGGAAGAGGAGCGCGACGTACAAATCCTGGAAGGAGAACGGTTGTGTCGGCATCGCTCCGGTTCGACTCCAGCCGGAGGGGTCTGGAACAGGTCCTCGGGTCCGGGACCGAGGCGCCACTCCAGCCGGGGGGCAGTGAGGGGCGAGGGGCGCGCGGGCCGGACGCTCACCGCCGCCAGCCGGCACCGCCTCCGGCG